AGGCACGGTCGTCCTGTGTTTTCTGCCCTGTGGCAGACAACCGCGACGGTCACAATACAGCGCGGTGCAACCGCTACTCCGATGCGGTTGCCAAAAACACTTAGGTGGCGAGGCTCGGCCTTTGTGGTCGTTGCCTCAAACGTGCTTATGAGGACGGCGATTGTGGCGTGCAAAGCGCCGTGTGTGACCACACGATGTGCTGCTGTGCGCCAACCGAGGACAAGGCGGCGGCTTCACACGACGACGGCCATGAGGACCATGGGCAAAGCACTGACACTTCGAAGGAAGCAAAAAATAATTTGGTTTTGATAGGTAAATAAATTTTAATTTGTTGTAGCCGACGGGGTGTTCTGGCATAGGCCAGAACTCGCGGTCACCCCTGCTCTTAAGGGGAGGGGCTTAGGAGACGCTCTCTCTTGTACACCACCCGCAACCAGAGTGTTTTGCATTTGTTTTCGATTAAATTTATCACTGAACCACTTTATCTATTCTTTCATCAGGAGCCAACAATCTCTCTGAATATATGAAAGGCGCCACCCTTCCGCCTAGACACCACAGAGCGCAGGAGCAGGAATTTGTCAGATTATAGGATGAAGAGTCTATAACTGATAATATAGCGAGGAGTTCATTGGTGGGGTGGCAACAAATGTGTATGTGTACACAGACTTTATTATCGTTCGTGCTCTTCTCTGAAGCCTTGGCCAAGATGAAACAACTTTTATTTGACTAACGTTTCGGCGGATCACCTTCGTCAGAGTCTGGAAGCTAAAAATATTTGGGATTCATACTGATCAAACGACCTTAAACCTCAGCATAGTTCAATTATATGCATCGCAAAAACGTGTGTTGACCGAAGAACTCTATTAAAAATTCAGTCAGCGACAAGGGGGGGGGGGCGAGCTCGTGGTTATGCCACGAGATCTGGACAGCAAGAACACAAAAGGCAATATCGTCGCTTAAACAGGGATCGGTCGGACGTTGCACGGACTGCGGAACTGCTTTAAACAGTAGGCAACGCTTAAAGTGTGACTACCCAGTCTGCCTGCTACTCTTTATATCCTCGTTAAAACTTACAAACTCACACCAAACGCCCTGTCCTGACTCACCTCTTGGATCACCAGTTTCGTCCCATAATAACAGTGTAGGAGGTCCCACCGACAGAATTTCCTTGCTATTGAACCTCGTGCTGTCACATTTCTGACATTCATCCCCGCCAATCTCAGCAACACCACGGAGTTCCTTGACCAACTGCGAGAGACTCGATTTAGGAGGAACCACTTCACAGAATCATTTGACGTGACCTCCCTTTACACAAATGACTCAAACGGGGACGCAATGCCGGCCACCTACGAACTTTTAAACGAACACGGGGGTCAATAAATATGCATGGTCTTTCGGTCCAAGGTGATGAGGTTAGTCAAGGAATGTCTGGACAGATCCAAATTTTTGGTGGTTCGGGCGATACTTCTAGCAGATCAGGGGTAGCCATTGGTCAGCGGCTGGCAACAGTGCTAGCCATTGCCTATGATCGCAGGCCATTCCTCTACAGCCACTATGTAAACAACTGTTTTCTCGCCTGTTCAGCTCACAAGTAAATGGACACGTGTTCCGAATTGCTAAACAGAAAACTAGGGACCAGAAACTGAAAACTTTTGCCTGCTCTTCGTGTCGGACTCCGTCAATTCAGACGTGAGAATGGCTTTGCGAAAGTGTGGTCGCGATGATACGATCCGGGTGGTTGAAGTTCCCCTTTAAAATTTAAGGCAGAGACTAGTCTCTACGACGGTTTCTGCATTATCCCCCCACCCCATTGTGTCATCTGTCTCAACGAGCGAGGTGGTGGCTGTATGGCGTGATACGAAGCCCACGACCTCATAGCGGGCAACTTGTGAAGCTTTTTAGATCAGAGCAAAAATCCCAAAATGAATCGGAAAGATGAATGTTTTGCCGTAACTACTGAACTTGCCCCGTTTCTCGACCTGTGTGGTTTTCAACTGCCTGTGGGGAGAAGCCAGGGGTGAGGAAACTTGAAGCCCACCCATTGCAAAAATGTTTGGACGCCGTTTAAAGTGAGGGGGGGGGNGGGGGGGGGTCAACGGTCTTCTTTTGTATGTCTAGGTTGAGTTACGTTATCGGCTATCGTGTTTTAAAAGCCCTCTCTAGAACCTATAGGCAACATTAGAATTAAGCTGAGGTCTAAAGTCGTTTGATCAGGATAGATTCGAATATTTTTTTTGGCTTCCAGGCTCTGACGAAGGCCACTGGCCGAAACGCTAGCCAAACAATCTGCACGAACTTTCTGGGCATGGCCGGGTACTAAGGAAGTTTGTTCTCAGACTCGCACAGGCGGCTCGACCGTTGTATGCGCTGATTAGCCCGAAGGCCAAAGTCGAATGAATGCCGAAGCAAGATCAAGCTCTTGAAATGCTCAAAGAGTTGCTTACAAAGGCGCCAGTGCTCGCGCAACCCGACATTGAAGAAGCACGTGAAGGAACGAGTCCGTTCTTTATCTATACTGACGCTAACCAAGTCGGAGTTGGGGCAGTGCTGCCCAGGAACAAGAGGATGGTTTCTTTTATACCGTTAACTTACACGCGTCGAAGCCGTTGTCAAAAGCTGAGCGAAACTATCACGTTACAGACCAGGAAGGATTAGCGGTTGTATACGCACTCAAAAAGTTTCACTATTTCATTTATGGAGTGCGCACTATCGTCAGGACGGACCATGCGTCACTAACGTCCTTGTTTAAACGGACAAACGTATCACCTCGAATCCTTAGGTGGGCAATGGAGGTGCAACGGTATGACCTCACGATAGAGCATGTTAAATGAGCGGCAAATCGTGTGGCCGACACGCTTTCTCGTGGAATCGTCAACTACAGTGAAAAAGTTCCACCAACGTATGACGAAAATGAAAAAATTGTTCGCACGGTAAGATCAGCTCCGTGGCTGCATGAGCTCAGGCAAAATAAAGATTCCACGCCCGTAATTGAAGCTGTCGAAAACAGAATGGAGGTAGAGGTGCGATTCCCTCGACACGAAAAGAGGCTCAGCACGAAAGATTTCCGGATCGTTGAGAACCATTTGCAGCTCGTACGCGAGGATGGTTCATTGGTCTGCGTAGTGCCGGAAGGGCACAGGCGTGAGATATTTGACTCAAACCATAGTGGAACTCTAGGTGGACATTTTGGCGCTTAACGTTTTCGCAGCTGAAACAGTTTTTCTTTCGGCCAGGAATGAAACAGAACTTGCTGAAGTGGGTGCAAACAGTGTCAAAGTTGTTTTCTGACAAATCCAAAACACGTAAACACGCAGCTGCTTGAATCTAGATATATTTCACGTCCGTTCAAAGTAATTAGGGTAGACGTTCTGGAAATGTGTATCACGACAAGAGGTATCATACACATCGCTACCATCGTGGACCATTTCAAAAAGTATCTGGGCACTATCATGTGCCAGACAAGAAAGCTGTTACGATAGCAGAGGTGATCTTCAGCCGATGTATATGCCCCGGCGGCCGGTGGTCTTAGTGCGTCTCATCGCATCACATCGCATCTCTCTCATCGCAGCGGTGAATTCGAGAATGCTGTCATCGAAGCCCTTTTATATTGAAGATCAAACAGGACTTTCTCAAGGGATATTGTTCCCGTGAAAACGGGTCGACTGGAAGAGGGAACGGAACTATCACTGGCAAGCTCGAAAAAAAGACTGTCGCTCCCGCAGAATGGGACAGAATTTTGCTGGCAGTAGTGTATGCATACATCGCACTCGGTAACAGGCGAAAATCCTCATTTCTTAGTGTGCGGACGCGACCCACAGTATCCGTCCTCGGTGATACCAAGGAAACATCTGTCATCCTAGCAAGTCAACTATGATGACTATAAGGCAGAGCTTCTTGCTGGACTGGAGTTAACCCGTGAGTGTATATCGGAGCGGGCTGAAAAGTTCCGCACGGCAATGAAAACAGCTATGACGAAAGGTGGAGCACCAAAAAGTCGCAGGTTTTCTGGACGGGTGACAAGGTTTTCCGGACGGGTGACATGGTTTTCGAGAAGGTTCTGACAGAAAAGGGAGGTCTCCACATCCGAAATTGACGCATGAGTGGAGAGGGCCTTACTGAGTGTTGGAGGCGAGCGACAATTTAGCTCTTATCACACTCATAGGTGATAACGAGTAGCCTCTCAGGATACAGTTCGACCATCTTGTTAAGGTGCTCCCAGAAATTGATGATAGCCCGTAGGAGGAAATTCCTCAAGAGGACGAAAAGGGCGACCGAAAAAGATCAAACCGGTGGTGACTGAACCGGCACCTCTCTCGAAAGCATCAAAGAAAACACGTTTGTTTCGAAAATGTGATCATATCTATTTCAGCAACCGTCTTTCAACCTCCCACGCAGAAGACGTGGAAACAATTGACTTCTGTTGTCCTGGAACGTACATGCATCATAACCAGCATCTCTCGTGCGCTGGCACGGCCGTGGGGAACGATCGTCCCAAATGCACCAATTCCAGAGTTTATCGCGAAGACGCCTTATGAGCTTGGGCGAGCGATCACAATTGCAATTCAAACACATGTGCCAGATGCTGTGCAACGTGATCTTTTAGCTGATGATTCGTACGTCACTTTATCATCTACAGGTTTTGCAATTGCATACGCTTATTTCCGTGAGGCGTGTATGCACCTTAGTCAGGTGATTCGAGTAGCGCAGCTGAAATCGAGGGAAAGCCACCCACATCGAGCTAAACATGAGGCGTTTGACGCGGATCGCGTAATATGGAAGGTCTTAGAGAGTTCGATTCTTTTGAAGTCGTGGACCATCGAGTCGGCCGTAAAGTGTAGGAGAACCGTCATTCTTGATTCAAAAATCACACGGAAGGCTTCACCACAGACTGGGAGAGGGCGTAAAAGTATAAAGAGCCTGAGGAAATCTTCAGGCACTGGTTTGAAACAGAGTTGTCGGCGATCGTATTATTCCCCTTCCTACGAGGTGCCGATGCAGGAATGGATCATTCCGTGGAAGGACATTATGCAGTGCGTCGTCAAAAATACAGATCTCTTCCTTCTGACACGATCTCAGGACGACTACGAAGGGACGCGGATGTCTATTTTGTGAGAGATCTTGCCGAGGAGACTGTGCGCGAGAGGCCTGCATTAAAACTTCGAGTCATAGATTTGCTACCGCGTAAGTCGTGTGACGATGAGAGGACGCCACATCGGATCTTAGGGATTCGAGGGAACTCTAGTTTTCCTTCGCATACGCCGTCTCAGGCGAAGCGCTTCCTTACTGAGACCGTTATTTGTCAGGGCCTGCACCTGCGATTGCATCCTTATCGCAGAACACCGGAAGCGGAACAGCGGTTCATACAGGCAGCGATAGGGGACCAGCGTGGTCAGCATCGGAATGATGCGCTGGTCAGCAGAGCAAGGAGAGTGAGGGCCGGAAGGGCAACAGGTAGTCGTGGAGTGCCAAACAGGAAACCGTACCGTTGCAGCGGACGTAGTGCTTTTCGAGGCAGAGGCGCACCCTACGATCGCGTCAGGAATGTTCCCATTCGACGAAGCTGGTAGTGTTGGCTGAGTGGGGCAGCCAATTCGGAGAGGAAGGGCATGTCATGCACTCGTCATATATGCTTACCATGTATTGTTGTATGTAATGATTTCGTATGTTTGCACTTTCCTAACCTACTTGCCGGGTCTCTGAAGCGTTGTCCTTGAAATAAAGGACGGATCGATTGGATTCCGTAACTATTGAATCGGCCCGATGCCTGGAAAATAACCACTGTAACCAACCACCATCGTGGGAATCGAGGGGCGGGGCAGGAGATATATGTATGGCTGCTTTCATAGTCCGCCGGCCGGCCGGCGTGCCGGCGTGCCGGCGGAGGCAGTGCTAGGGAGGAGGAGGGGGACAGACAGTGTAAGGCAGACAGTCCACACCCCTTCGAAGGTTGCTTGTTTTCAACCCCTCGAAGGGGCGTGGACTGTTTGCCTATCTGTCTGCCTCCCTCCTCCCCTCTAACACTGCCTCCGCCGGCACGCCGGCCGGCGTGCCGGCGTGCCGGCGGAGGCAGTGCTAGGGAGGAGGAGGGGGACAGACAGTGTAAGGCAGACAGTCCACACCCCTTCGAAGGTTGCTTGTTTTCAACCCCTCGAAGGGGCGTGGACTGTTTGCCTATCTGTCTGCCTCCCTCCTCCCCTCTAACACTGCCTCCGCCGGCACGCCGGCCGGCCGGTCGGCCGGCGGACTATGAAGGCAGCCAATAGGGGGAGGCTATTGGGAGCGTCGAAAAGACTGGCTTCGAAAGACTGGCCTAGGAGCGGTTGGCTTCGAAAAGACTTGGGCAGTCGCAAGCACTCGACGAAATAGCGAGAGAGGCTAGAAGTAGCTTCCCTAGCGTGGATCATAAGGCGGTTAGCCCACGATCGCTTTGAGCTCCCAATAAGGCCAGGACCAGTGCTCCTACCCCTCCCGTCGAAGCCCATTAGTCTACCGAGCAGCTCATTGTGCACCCCAGTGCACCAAGGCCAATCTTTTGAAGACTTGCCTCTTAGTGAGGGAGATTTGAATAAAGAGTTCTTAAAACGATTGTGATCGTTCATTACCCGGTTGGTGCCGGACATACCGGATTGATTTGCGGATATTGATTTGTGTTTGAGAAAAGAAATTTAACGGGATGTCAGCCACTAGGCAGAGTCTACCAGAGTCCGCGGGGTCGAGGTCGAACCAAGCCGCGTCGGACTCTCGCGACAAGCCTCAAGCTGGCAGGTTGGGGCGCAAGTCCCAACCTGACATCATCTCGTACACACTGACTGAGGGCAAGAAAGCATGTGAAAACTTACCGTTTCCGGAACATGAGAACGTAGTGGTTAAAGATCATAGGGCTTGATCACCGAAACCTAGACGTTCACATTAACTTTGTAAGCCACTATGTCAAATATGCACTTAGAGATACTAGCGGCTATTCTTTGAAGCCTGTGAAAAAGGCTGACATGTAAGGATGAGAGAATGTTTTGTTCTTGGTTGCACCGTCCATTTTTTCTGGTATGCCCTTTCGTCAGTCGGTGGTTTTTGTGTTTACTTTATTCTGCTACTCTATCGCGCTGGAATGTTTTCATTGTGAGTGTGACTCCAATTTGTATATGCCTTAAATGTTGTAATTAAAAGCCACAGCTCCCGACAAACGTGATTTGTGACATTTCTACTCGGGATGAACCTCTGACTCCCTAGCATAGCAAAAGGGCCGGGCCAGGTGGAAAAACGGCCTAGATTGGGCATAGAAAGGCCCTAAGATCGGCTTAGCCGACGCATACGCCCAAAGAGGACGAGTTCTTAAGCAATGTTCAAGCTCTGGAGGTTGCACCATCCCCACCGGGACCCACACTCTGCAAACGGGCAGCTTACTACAGCCAGCTGTATGCAATGCGCGCTCATTTGAGCAACTCGTCCAAACACCCTATCCATGCAACTTCTTCTGTCGTCACATTATCGTCCAACTACTGAGTTGATTTCTTTTTGAGAGTCCTCTACTTCTCTGTACAAGCCTGGTTATCCTACTATCTGGTTTTTTCGCCACTTTTATGCTATTCTGGTCTATCATTTCAATAATTCGTCTGAAACATAATACCCCAAAACTGTTTTGAACTGTGCGTTCAATGAAGGTACTCAATTCTTGGTTGCCAAGTGGCCCCCTATCACATGCTTGGTCCGGGGACCGAATCCTTCGCATGGATACGCGCTTAGACCAACCAAGACCTCTCCGGTGTCGGTTAATTTTTACAAAAACCGTCTTAGATGTGGAAGCATTGCCGTGTACTAGGATTAGCCACCGCAACTTATTGTACAGGCCGAGCCGCTTTCGAAATTCTGCTACGTTTGTAAATCGAAGTCGAATGCGTGGGTTCATCCGAAAAAGTGGAATGGTGATTATCAAGAAGCTTTCACAGAGCTTTTACAGTCGGCGAGTTATGAACAAGAACTCGGTTTTGGACGGGACTCGAACGTGTGCTTGTGTTATAAGGGCACCATGCTCTCATACCTTACACTATCGAGACCCCACCTGCCCCATGATATACTTATTGGTGAGCGAGCACGAAGGTCTATGAGAGAGAGTGAAGTTTGGGGCTGAAGGGGCGGGATTTCTTCGGCTTTTCATTACCCTTTACAACTTATAAATGTCAGCATACACAGATGCGAGAAACGAGCTCAATCTCAAGAAAATCATCGATCACGGTCTAATACAGTGCCCGGAGGACGTTTCTAAATGTTTGTACGTTTTCTTTTCTACGTGTGACCCAGTCTTTTTGATGAATGGTAAGCAGTTACTGATCATACCGCATGTCGATATCCGCATATTTTAAGTTATTATCCCAAGCGCCAATGTATCGGTGATAAATATGGAATAGCCTACACGATTACTGGATGCCTTCGAGACCATTCTTTTTGCGAAGTAAGTTGATTTAGCTGTAATTCTAAGTTTTCATGATTATACCACTAAAAGAATGTTTTTGGTCTGTTATTCATGTTCTCAATGGTTTTTTCTCCTCCTAGACGACTCTGAGAGGAGCAAAGCAATGCCACGACTACCACGCCAGTAACTAGTGTAGTCGTTGTCGCGTCGTCCATCGGTGAATCGCTCGGGCTGGCGGTCGGGACGGCGTGTTGTCAGGCCTTGTGGCCCCGGTGTCTACGCGAGGTACCTCGGGTTGGTACGGACTCCGCAGTACATAAGGGGGTTGCTATTTAAGCGCCGAGCTCCTCAGGCCTACGTGGGACAACCTAGCGTCCCAGGATACCTGCAATATATGTGCACGTGCACCGGCACCGAGCGGCGGCGTTTATTGGGCTCTCTCGGCATTCTTGGAATTCGACACTCTCGTCATTTATTTCTGTTACTATCTGGTATTTGCTGTCCAAGCTGTCGCCCTAGTGGCTGGGGCCTTTCATTCTTGCCGTATAGCCACCCGCTCAGGTCTATTTTTGCAGTTTTTGTGGTTTTTGGACGTGCATTGGTTGTGGTCGTCAATCGATCACCCTGTGATCTCCGATAACTGTTTTTGGATACTTTAGTGAGGCTTCCTGTGGCAGAGGCCGCTCCTCTTTTTGTTTTTATTTGCTACCTTGAAAGGTCAATTCATTCGTGTTTTCTTTTCTGATGGATACCCCGTCTGCCCCTACCGTTCAGGGAACCAAGCGGTCGCGGATTAACTTTGATGTGACGCCAACGATGCAAGCAGATGATCATGGACTGCAAGACGCGATCAATTTGCTATCATCGGACACAACAGTGCCTGCGCACCTAAATACAATCATCGGTCACCTTTTGGACAGTGTGATGAGGAAAGACCGTGAGTTGGAGATGTTAAGGAAGCGCGACTCAGAGCTGATCGCTGAGAACAATAAGCTGAAAGAAGAGATAAAGGTACTAAAATCTAGTTTAGCTACCTCGCTTGCAAATCACTCCCATTCCGACAGTTCTGAACCCACTAGGCAGCCAAATTCTTGCGAAGAATCTGAGCGTGCTAGATCCGTAGTAGTCAGTGGTCTTGCCGAGTGTACTGATAGTAATGTTACTGCTCGTTTGAATTATGACATTGACTGTGTTAAGAAACTCTTTTCATACCTTGATGTAGAATGTATGCCTGTGACATGTTATAGAATGGGGCGGCCGCGCAACGGTTTCCCCCGATTGCTCAAGTTTGTGTTGCCGTCCACTATGTTCCAGTCACTTTTGTTGAAGCGAGCACCTAGGCTTCGTTATTTCCAAGTCAAAGGCGTTTATATTCGCCGATCACTAACTAAAGAAGAACGAAGCCTACGTCGCGCTCGTCGTGCCTCTTCTTCTCAAAATGCATCTCAGCCACAATGCTCTCCGCCTCCATCCGATATGCAACTATTAATGTTTCGCCTCAAAACTCATCCTTTCATAATGTCTCTTCGCCTGTTGTATATGCTACCTCACTTTTGTCATCGGGAAACGCCTAAAGCATCTCCGGAGAAAGAGGTATTTTTCAACATGCACCCCGATATCGTTTACTTTAGCTAATGTCAGATCTCTCCTAAAAAATGCGGATGCATTTGTGTTCCACCCTATTGCTACTTCTAGTTCAATTGCCGCCATCACCGAAACTTGGCTCAAACAGGCTAATGACATTTCCCCTCTTCTGGGTGAAATTTGTAATTTCTACGATACCATTAGATGTGACCGAAATCGAAAGAAGGGCGGAGGAGTTGCGGTGCTGTTACGTAAAGAACTCCATCACACAGTCGTTTTCAGTGAATCTGTCAGCG